AAAAAAAGGTTTGGTATTTTGCACTCTTACCTGGTAGCATTTTTGATACCGACAAATTTTCTGTAGTGGCAGCCCTACCCGATTATCAAAATTGAGGTTATCGATTGACGAGCTCTTTCGATGAAAAGGTAGTAAGTATTTATCGAATTTAATGCAATTCTATTAATAGTTGCGTTACCCAACTTTTCTGGGTTAACCGGATCGCGAATAGCCCTAATGTAAAATTCCGCCATCCTGGCTTCGAAGACATTTATGTACAAACAGTAAACAAAGCCGAATTGGATGTTAAAAGAAAATGTCAAATGGGCCAATTTTGTTAATATTAAATTTTTCGTTAGGAAACGTGTTTTAATTGTGCTAAATTGTAAAAGTATATGATTTATAATAAGACTTAATACGGTAAATGAGAGAAAATAGTGATTTTTGTGGAAGTATTAGTGATTTTTTGAGTTTCAAATGTTCAACTATCTGCTTGTTGTGTGAACAGTATCGATAATCGCCGGTTCGTTTGAAGTGTAGCCGATAAAAGCAGAATCGATTACTATCTTATGCAAATGCATAAGCACATATCTACTTTATCTCTATTCTAAAGAATTCTAATGCGTAATTTGTTTGTTTGAAGTGTGCTAAAAATATTTTGTGGTTTAAAGTGAGTTAAATTTTTTATTAAAATGAGTAGCAAAAGGCATGTGAAAAGACTTATTAAAAATCAAAGAGAGTTGTATGTAAATAGTTTAATCGATGAAGAATCCCACAGAAATTCTGAAGCTTGTCGGCCAGATCTCTTAGAAGAAAATGACGCAGGCACAAATGTCGACGTAGCCTCTCCTCTGCCGGTTGTAGAAAATGAAAGTACTTGTCCAGAAACTCCATTCGGAAGTGACGATTCACTTGCGCATACAGAAGCAAACTCCTTTAGAGATAAAATTTTAGCTTGGTACATAAAAAATAGGCCGCCGCGAAAATCTTTTGAAGAGTTACTTTCCATTTTGAAAGCACAAAATTTAGATGTACCGAGATGTGCGGAAACGCTTTTTTCTAAAAAAAGACAAAAGGCAATCATTGGCAATGTTGAACCAGACTTATATTGTCATATTGGCTTAAGTACTCAGCTGGAGAAAGTTTCCTATATAATTGGTGACGTTGATAAGATTTTGATAGACATTAATATTGATGGTTAGCCATTATTTAAAAGCCCTCGGGCTCAATTGTGGCCAATTTTGGTAAGACTAGTGGACTTTAAAGAAGTCTCTGTATTTCCCATCGGCATTTATGTAGGAAATAAAAAACCAAATGATGTATCTGAGTTTTTGAAGCCGTTTGTGATGGAAATGCAAGGCATATTACAAAATAATATTAACGTGAGTGGAAAGTTCGTCGCAGTTGAAATAAGGGCATTAGTTTGTGATGCCCCTGCCAGAGCTTTTGTTTGTGGTACGCCCAGTCATGTATCTTCTCATGGTTGTGGCAAATGTACACAAATCGGAAGAAAGTTGAATAATGTCCTGGTATATAGTTCAGAGCCAGGAGAGTTATTAACTGATGACGATTTTTTAAGGAGGAAATATGCAGGACATCACAATAAGAAATTTAGAAATACCATGACTCCTCTAGAAAACATTGGTGTGAAAATGATAACGCAAATAGCTTTAGACAGCATGCATTTACTAGACCTGGGAGTAATGCGAAAATTTTTGTTGCGATTACTTCAAGATAAAGTGAATGTAAAGGTAGAGAAAATAAAAAAGAAAAATATGTCTGAAATTTTAAAATCTTTATCTCCCTTTATAACTAAAGAATTCGTAAGGAAACCCAGGTCCATGGATGAAATACTAAACTGGAAAGCAACAGAATTTCGC